TCTTTAATGTTTCCAACTTTGGCATTCCAGTCTCCAATCACAAGCAGGACATCTTGCTTGCCTGCTCTGTTGATTTCAGATTGAACTTGATCATAAAACTCATCAACCTCCTCTTCTGCATTGGTAGTTTGAGCATAAACCTGAATGATCATCATATCAAAGAACTGTCCATAAAATCTAATCGATATTATTTGGTCATTGATTGCATTGTAGCCAAGTTCTAGCTACACCCTTCCAAACTATAAAAGTGATGCCTTTCCTTCTTTGTTTTTTATGTCTTGACTAATAAACAATGTGATCTTCTGACTGAAAGCATCCAATCCTAGTCCATCTCAATTAGCTGATGCCTAAAATGTCAATTTGTAGTTGTTTCATTTCATCTTTCACTGTGTTGAGCTTTCCTGTGTTCATGCTTCTTATGTTCCATATTCGTACTGTTATTCTTTGCAGCTTTGGATTTTTTTTTCCTGTATGGTAACATCAGTAATTAGACATCTCTGAGGCTTTAATCTAGCCATGTTATAAACACCATTAGTACTCCAAAAGATCCTAAGTTCTTCTCAGTAGCATGTTGAGTGCCATCAGACCTGAGGGGCCCATCATCTGGCACTATATCCTCAATCATGTTATATTTTTTATCCATATGGTTTTCTTGGTAAATATACAGAAGGGTACCATTGCCTTCTCCCACGCAGTATGAATTGATGCCTTTGCCATTATCATTAAAGTGATCATCTGCTTCCAGCATCTTCCTATGTCACTGCCGCCCAATATAGGTGCCTGCTTGCTTCAACTGGGCAGCTGCGATGACCTTCACACCTTGGGTGACCCTGCTGGGAATATAGAGTCTTGGCATAAACTCCCGACATTCTTTGCTCAACCCTCCCAGGAACACCTCCCACCACCATCATGATAAGGCAGCACAGCAGGACTTGTGGGCGAGGGGGACTAATGAAGAAGGGGAATTTTTAACCTAAATAGTGGTACAATTGGATAACTTTAGACCCTGGACAATGATTTTATAGGAGGCCCCCTTTAGACAATTGTCTTTAGTTGGGAATAAGCATTTTTTTTTTTGCTGGAAAGAACATTTTTTAATAATTAATAACATAACATAGCTTTATACATGTGTCTCCAATGAAATACTCAAGTTTATAAGTAAATCATCATCATCATCATCATCATCATCAGAAGAAGAAGAAGAAGAAGAAGAAGAAAGAATGTGGTGAAGAGCCTTGGTGGGCCTCTGACCCACCATACAGCTCAGTTTCCATCATGGAGTTATGTGCTGCTTTATGGATTATAATTTTGGGGAGGACTGAACTCTGAGCAATGAACTTTGGCCCTGGTTATGGAATAAGAGCACCTGGGATGCCTCAGAAGGAGTTTCATTCTATTCCTGTGGCTGGAAGGAACTGTTCTCTGGCTGTTCTTCTTCTAGAACTATTCTCCCACAGAGCCATGTTCCCTGGTCTTTATAAAATTTAGGTAATTTTGGTAGAAATTGCATTTGTATTCATGTGTTTTCTTTCCCTCTTTCTTTTTTCTTTTTCTCCTACTGCCAGAGCCATGGAGAAGGAATGTGAATAAACAACGTGAAACAATTCATCTAATTTATCACTGAAATCTATTACATGTGTAAACTAGGCCTCTGAAACATTAAGAATGTTCAGGGTGATATGAAAAAGAAATTATTTACCATGGTGCGTGCGCGCGCACACACACACACACACACACACACACTTCTTGTTTTTTTTAGCACATATTTGTCACAGTTCAAACAAACCTGAAATGGTAAAATGTGGATTAGGAAATGAAAAGAATGGAATGTGTATATTATGAAAAGTCAGTTATAGAATGAGTGACTCTCTAATAATGCATATATCTGTTATTCTTAACTAGCCTACCAGCTCTCCTGTTTCCCTGGTTCTAAAAAGGAAGATGATTTTCATGGATTCCAAAACAATATGCACTAGGCCTATTTACAATAACAAAAAATATGTAGAAATCTAATAATTACCATTCTGAAATTTGGAATGAAAATAAAACTATAACAAACATTTAAATTTTTTTGAAATCCAATTAAACGTATGCTTAAATTTGACCTCATGTTGATACAGGAATTTGGCAATGAAATGTAATAACAAGGTTTAAATATTTCACTTGGTTTTTTGAATGAATATAGTTAATATAATATTTTTAAATGTTATGACATTTATCAACTACTGTCATATACTGATGACCACATACTAAGTGCTTTTAAATGCCAGTTCCATACCAGATATTGACTACTATAAGCATTCTAATGCAAAATCTTTGGATATAAAATACTAGTTTCAAATGATGGTGCTATATGAAATATACCTGGTGTCTATCCAACAAACGTAACAGAACATTCACAATAATAACTTGTAGAGAGCACTTTTTAAGATAAATGTTCAGCATTTTGTGTGTGAGTGTGTGTGTGTGTGTGTGTGTGTATGGAAAAGCTGTCATTCACATATTAATTAACTGGCTGTGCAAAACAGCTGAATGTATATACTATAAGTTGAGTGGGGCTACCTTGATACTTGAATTTGAGTTTTGTATCAGTTGAGCCTTCTGACACTTCATTAAAAATGGGGAGAATAATATTCAAATTTCCCACTGTTTGATAAATAGCCTCTAAAATATGGGCCAGAAAAGTCACACATGCTGATGCCAGAGTCTGACTGCACCCTAAAATAGCATTTGCAGCTACTCAACTTTTTTTTTCATGGCTGAAATCTCAGGAGGCCATTGAATCTTTTAAGATTTCTGTTTTCTTGTGTAAAGAAGACTTCAGTATTCTTACATGAGATGTTATGATAGCTCGGCCCAAGGTCACCACAATAATTCATGGTTTGTTAGTCTCATGAAATATGAGCCAGTTTACATTTTTCAGGGTGCTTGGGCCATCATGAAAATTTTCACATTGGCACCTCTGACAGAAAAAACATACAGATCCCTGTTCTATGAATATGAACGATTCATGTAGTCGCTTATGAGAGGGGAGGTATTAATGATGGATGGAAAGATATGAGATGAAACCTGGCATTCATTTAAGTGAGAAAGAGAGCTAATTTTTTCAATTACTTGTAATGAGTTATCTTAAAGACCCATACGGACAGAACTGTGTGTAATGTAAGTAACTTAAATAACATATAACTAAACAATTTCCCCTATGGCCCATTCACAGGTATATCTGTTCCAAATGCTTATGCTGTGATCTAAGTAGTATTAGTTTGTTTATTTATTTATCAAACTTGTATAGCTGCCCATCTCACAGAAAAGTGACTTTGGGTGGTGTACAACACTTAATTAAAAAGCCAATGAATATATAAAAAACATTCATTATTAAAACTATAAAAAACACAAAAACAGGAGAGGATGATGTTACCCATAATAAGGGAGCCATCGCAAGATCTCCCCAGTCCCCTGGAAGCCCCAGGCTGAAGGCATAACCAGGTTTTGAGGGACCTGTGGAATGGAGCTAACCTCACTTCTGGGGGGAGAAGATTCCATAAGGCAGGCGTCATGGCGGAGAAGACCCACCTCTTGGGACCCGCCAAGTGCAGTTCCCTGACAGACAGGACCCACAGCATGCCTTCTCTACCAGAACTGGTGAGATGGACAGATATAATCAGGGAGAGGCAGTCCCTCAGATAACCCAGCCTCATGCCATGAAGGGCTTTAAAGGCCAAAACCAGCACCTTGAATTGGCCCAAGAAGCAAACTGGCAACCAATGCAGCTCACGGAACAGAGGTGTAATGTGTTAGGGGCATACAAAACTGCCTGCACTGCTGCCTTTTGCACCAGCTGAAGCTTCTGGATACTCTTCAAGGGCAGTCCCATGTAAAGCGCATTACAGAAATCCAGTCTGGAGGTGACTAGAGCATGAATGACAGTGAGCAGAGCCCCCTGATCCAGGAATGGGCACAATTGGCACACAACCCGAAGCTGTGCAAAGGCCCTCCTAGCCACGACTGCCACCTGCTCTTTGAGCAGGAGTCACAAGTCCTGGAAGACCCCTTAGATTGTGCACCAGGTCTATCTGTGGCAGTACCACTCCACTGAGCACCAAAGATGGCATTGTTCTAGAACCAAAAGGCTCCAATACCCAAAGCCATTCAGTCTTGCCAGGGTTCAGCTGAAGCCTGTTGTTCCCCATCCAGAGCCTCACAGCCCTCTGGGATAAGATGATCACAGCATTGCTTAATTCTGCTTCTTCCAAGGTCCTCTGAAGCTACTGCACCACCACCTTCTCAGTCATCTTCCCCCCAAAAGGGGAGGCTAGATACTAGACAAGAATTGTCCAGTATAGTGGGGTCAAGCAATGGCTTCTTGAGAAATATGCATAAGAAAATCTATCTATGTGGTTGTTCAGAGTTGACACCAACTTGATGGCACATAATCAATCAATCAATCAATCAATCAATCAATCAAAGCATAAGAAGGGAAGATAGATCTTTTTCAGAACCCATTCTAAAATATCCTCTTCAGCCTTCTCCTTTCCCAGCATGTCAGACAGAGCCCAGACAGACAGGCAAAAAAACAAAATAAAAAAAAACAACCCAAAGAACAAAAGTGGCCTTGAGGATACTTATATTAGACATCATGGCTTGGAATCCTCACTACTATGCCCTAAACTTGTAAATGGTACCCATTTTTTTCTATTTGGTTGAGTTTAGGACACCTTTTTCCAATTCTTAAACATATGCATAAAAGATATCAAAACTTCATATGTATATCAAGTAGTTATGACATAGTTATCACTTGGTTAGAATACAGTCTTTCTTAAAAATAAAGCATTTATGCTTTCTTAAAATAATGCATTTAATAATGCATTTATAAAATGCATGCCATAATGCATGCCATAATTCAGGTAATAAGGCGTTCCCAGAACTTGTTAACTGATAGCAGCAAATTATCAATTTCTGGTTGCATTAATGCATATCCACATTTTAATGTCCAATCTTACCTGAGCATCAATGATTCTCCTTAGTTCCATATCTGTACGTGTAAAGTAATCTGGATATGGATATTTTGGTACCCCAGCTTGCAAAAGTTCTTCCCTTAAAAAAGAAAAAAGGGAAAAATGTTATTTGACCTTATTTGTGTTGTTTTTCACTTAAATAAGAGATGATGTCAAGTTTCTTAATGTTCTGATAGATTGCCAAACCTAGTTAGACACATGTCCTTTACAGACTAGTTTTTACATATTTAAAGAAAAGCTACACAAGTTGTCTTCTAGAGGGGAGTGTTTTAAATCTGTGATACATCTCCAGTGCAATACAGTTTTATGTAGAATTTATTTAGTGCATACAGTAAAAAACACATTTATAAGCTGTTACTCATATATTTTATTTCTGTAGTTATGTCTGGCTATATAATTACTCTGAATTCAAGTTATAATTATAATCATAAAAATTATTAGTTGCTGCAATTTTGTGACTAAAATATATCATGTGCATTACTGACACATTTCAGAAATTTCATCCCACCTAAATATGCTGAAGATTCTTACTTTTCAAAAGGAAAAAAAGTCTAAATGCTAAAACACAAACAGTAAAAAGTGAATACTCAAAATTAACCAGCATACAGATGAAAAGTTTGTTCAAATAAACTTTTAAGGAAATGACAATATGCCATCATACACCTCTAAGGCAGGAAGTTCCTGAAAGTAGATGCCACAGCTGAGAAATCCCGCTCACGTATTCTAACCAATCACAAGCAGAGTACTAACCCTGGTTTCTTTAATGCACGGGCAAAATTCCATAGGAAGGTCTCTTTAGTTATCCTAAGCCTAGGCTGTTTAGGGCTTTAAAACAAGCCTTGCTTGTCCATCTTCTAGAAGAACGTAGGAGATGGCTCTAAAGTTTGTGGGAAGTTGGGGAAATTATCAAAACCACCCTCTGCCTGTAGGAGTAGCCAGGTGAAGATATGGGAATTTCCACTGGACCTGATTCACTTCTGTTGGCATAACCCCAGATATGAATGACAGAAAAATTATAATGGAGATGTTGCTGTTGGAGCTGTTTCATCACCAATTTTAAGAAATAACTAAGTTCTGCTAACAAAATGTTTTTGTTCAGTTTTCTCTTTTTCTTTTCAACGTGTGTTTTTGGCTGTCTGGTTTATTAGATTCCATTCATCTCCTTACTATATATCAATCTTCTAAATGTTTTTGTGGTATTATTACAACAGGAGAAACCATTGGATTGGCATATTTTCATTCTGACACTGATTCTGGGGTGCTTGCCATGCAATTGGCTGTTTGCTGCATGCACAAAAATGGCTTTGAATTAACTTAAGATGAACCTGCAAGCCCAATGTTCATGATTCATGAGTGGAAATAAAGAAAATTGCAATATTTCTAATAAAACAGAAATGGAGACATGGTCTCTCCAATCAACTCTTTTAGGAGGATATAATATGAAACAATGAGACTTGCTTAGGAGTGCCAGATAGAAACTCATTAGCCATAATCAAGCTAGAGCTTTTCCTCGATTCTGTCACACAACTATTAGGATTCTGTTTCTTGCCCATATTAATGAGAAACTAGGAAAAAGTAGCTGCTTCTGGCCTCCCTCATCTATTCTGTGATTAAATGGATGGAAGTGACTATGCTTTAGTTATGCTTTCTATGGGCTCCTTTGGATGACTTTGCACTTATTCAAGGCTTAAAAGGAGATATTGCTTCAGCTTTTCTCATGCCCACACTAAGCAACTTCCATCGAGTTAAAAACTGAATAATTATTCTAAAACGGTTTGGTGACAGCTCTACACAAATCACTATTGGACTGAGCTGCAATTGTTCCTTTGTTTATTCAGCTTGGATATTAATCATGGTTCAGTGATTGAATCCCACCAGTTGGCTGACTTTCTGTTGCCATACATAGGCAGGCATATGCATACACACACACACAACACATACATACACACACTTAGAGATACATACATATATACATACATACCCATCATACAATTCCATTTTGGGATGAGCAATATTATGCAACACAGTGAAAAGATGTAAGTAGAAGAATGGAGGAAGCCAAAGAAATTGAAGATGTAAAATCCGGAAAGGAAATATAGCTACTGTAGTGAAACTGGTATAACACACAAACTAGAAGATGGCTAGCAAGCAGATCTGGATGGCTTGGAAAGGGACCCTAGACTGGCAGAGAAGTGGGAAGTACCCTTTCCATGATCCCCTGGCTCAGCAAAATTTGGGCAATGTCAGGAAATAGAATATTTAAAATGTTGTCAAGGAAGGACATGGCTGGTGAAACAATGGTAGCAGGTGCCTGGCAATGATGTAGTGGCACCCCTGTAATTTTTTTTTTTTTTTTTTTGGTAAACAAAGGAATCCTACCAACCTCCATTACCTTCTTTGCTAATCTGTTCTAGCAGGAAAACCACAGTAAAATGTATGCTCCCTTATCTAAGAGACAAAGGGAAGAATAATTATTATACACACACATACCAACTCAACTGCTATACCTTTCTCTTTTTTATCTTGAATGTGAAAGAAATAATCTTGAAATCCTGGAGTAATCTGTAATTCCACTAGTCCAAATTTATCCATTCTTGCAGAAGTGAAGCCCTATGATTAGGATAATTGGCAGATCTATCCCTGCTCATTTTGCTAAAGAATCTATGTATTTTTTCCTCTCCTTTCACCTCAGAAAAGAAGAGAAATCAGATTGTTCATTTTCTTCTATTTAGCAACTTGTTATTTCCTAAAATCCTAAAGTAAAAATTTGGTTTTGGTTTTTTATTTGCTCAATTCTGCCAAAATATACAAATATACAAGTATGTATGTATATATTTTGGCAGAATTGAGCAAATAAAAAACCAAAACCAAATTTTTACTTT